TATGCACACGTATATATATGCACACACATATAAAATATTATTCACCTCCAAAGGTCTATACTCTTCTTCTCTACCAACAACTGGTCAAAATGGAAAAAAGAAAGGAAGCAAAGAAAGAAGAGCAGAAGAACTATGCCATACTATCATATAAGAGATAAACTAACCACCATCTATGGAAGATGACGATATGGTTTGGAGCAGAGCCTGTGAATAAATGCACTCACCTCGGTTAAATGAGGATTAGGATTAAAACCACAGAGGCTACAGACAGTGGTTTGACACTCAGTGCATGTGTTAAAATTGGCCTTTTCTGGAGTATGCAACAGCAATTCGGTGGTACTGCAAAGAGGACAGATGGTTTTAGGGAGGCCTTTTGCTGAAGTCTGTGCTGCAGATGGAGAAGTTACTGGTGGCAGAGATTTCCCAGTTTCCATTTGGCTTACTGGTTTTGTAGCCTGCTGAGCTGTGGGCTTTGCTGGGCCCGGCTGTTGAGCAGGGGGCTTCCCAGGCCCCGGCTGTTGAGAGGGCGGCTTCCCGGGGCCTGGCTGTTGAGGGGGAGCCTTCCCAGGGCCTGGCTGTTGAGTAGGGGCCTTTGCAAGGCTCGGCTGTTGAGTGGAGGGCTTTGCAGGACTTGGCTGTTGAGCTGGAGTCTTTCCCATCCCTGGTTGCTGAGTTGGAGACTTTGTTGGCCCAGATTGCTGAGCTGGAATCTTTGCAGGCCCAGCCTGCTGAGCTGGAGACTGTGGCCAAGGCTGTTGAGCTGGGGGTTTTGATGCCGCTAGCTGCTGGGCTGGGGGCTTAGCTGGCCCTGGCTGCTGGGCTGGAGACTTTTGCCCCAGCTGCTGAGATGCAGGTTTTTCTGACCCAGCCTTCTGAGCAGGAGGCTTTGTTGTCACTGGTGGCTGAGCTGGAGGCTTTGCAGTCAGTGGCTGAGGCGAGGGCTTCCCTGACCCTGGTTGCTGAGCTGAGGGCTTTGTAGGCCCAAGCTGTGGCATAGAAAGTTTTTCAGGTCCAGGCTGCTGGTCTGGTGGTTTCCCAGGACTTGTTTCTTGAATTGCAGGTTGAGACGGGCTTTGTAGTGAGAGTTTAGCTGGTTCTCCCTTTACTATATCTGACTGTTTAGTCTGTGGCCTGGATGGGTCTCGTTGAAGTGGTAATTTTGCCTGGTCTGTCTGAGAAGCGTGTGTAGGTCCCAGACTTGCCTTTCCTGTCCCTGGAGGTTGTGATTTAATTTTTTCAGGTTGTTGAGGAGATATTGATTTGGGAGAGCCATCCTGCTGCAGTGGGGCCTTAAGCGGCCCTTGCTGCTTAGGAACTGGTTTGGGTGACTGTTGGGAGGGAGGCTTTGTGATTCCTTCAGGTTTTCCTTGTTCCTTCTGAGCTACTTTTTGTTTCTTGGCAGTTTCTTCCTGGGATACATCAGAGTCTGATATCAAATCAAAGGGGTTGAATTTATTTACAACAGAAGAGACAGCACTTAAAGGGTTAACCTCTGAGAGGAAGCCAGGCATCATACTGGACTTGTGCTCTTCCTTGAAATCAGTTCTGGACTTTGATTCTTTTAAGCTAATAGTGGAAGGACTCCTTCCAGGCAATTTCTGCTCTGACCTAAAAGTGTCTGTAGTTCTACTTTTACTGAGACCAGGCTGAGCTGGACGCCCAGGATCCGGCGGTTTTCCTTGTTGCTTTGGAGGATGACTACTATCCAACTCTTGTTTTCTACAAGAATGAAAAAAAAAGAAATCAAAATAATATAACTTACGTCAAATCAAAGTAACACTAAAAGCTATTGTTTTCTTATATCCTTAAAACTACATGTGTGTAAATATAATTAAAATAAATGTTTGTACCATCCCGTCAATTGTAAGAAAAGTTTTACTGCTTTACTTACTTTACATAGATAAGAACTTCTGACAAGAGAGTAAAGAAAAGAATAATCAATACTCGCTATTATAAGTGTTGAAAATTAGATATCCAATTAGAAAATATGTATAGTAAAGATAATTTATATATATGCTTAAAAGAATGCAGCCATCTTTTAAAAACTTAATATATAAACTCAATGAATCAATACAATGTCATGTTCTAGCATGTACCTTTTTTTTAATTAAAAGTTTAAGCTCAAAGAAAGTTACTTTCCCAAATAATAGCAATACTTTAGATATATCCAAATAGTGATGAGCTGGATTGTAATATCACTTTCAAAAAGTACTGTACTTTTCTCAGATTATGATAATTCTCAGAGGAAGCAAATACACAATGCTCTTTCCACTCAATGCTTGCCTCATTCTTTATTTTGGTATTTATATCATCTTAATAATATTTTATTACTGATATTGATGTAACTTAAAACATTAATTTGTGAGATCTATTTTAATTCATAGACAAGCATAAAAGATGGATTTTTAAAAATAGTTCTAGAAACAACTGATCAATTTCAGAGACCATGATTAAACAATTCCTTATCATACATACAATTTAGCCAAAAGTCAGACTGTATACATTGACTTTTAAAATAATCTGCAACTGATAAATATGCAACCAATAAGAGTATACTGCTTTAGAATTATAGAAGAAGTCAGATTATAAGTATTTTGTTTGTACATATGTAGCCTATTTGACTTTTGGCAAAGATAAATATTTCTATTTAATGAAAAGAAATGAGAAAGAAACTGAGTTCTATAGCAGCTAAAACATGAGATGATAACAATAAATTTCTACAGATTCCAATCTGGTTTCTCAAATTTTAACTGCTCATGGATCAGACTATGCACTCTCAATTTCATTCCATTTTGGTCCTTAAAATAAATTAATTTTTTGAGAACTTCCCTAATGACACAGAAATGTGAATATACTTTAAGGTGTAAGATATAAAGCATAGGAAAAAGAATTGAGAAGTACTACTTCTAAACTGCAAAGCCTTAGAAGGGAAAAATAGAATCTAGAAATGGTAATGTCTGCACAAAGTGATTTCCTAGTAAAAGATAAATAAATGAAATTCTTAATTCTGGAAATTTCCTCTGAGGGGGGTCAAAAAAATTTATAAATAAAGTTTGGATTTGACTATGTCTCTGAAGCTTTAACTTAAACAAGGAACTAAAATCATCACTCATATAAATCCCAAAGATTCTACAATTTTAAAATGCATCACTACATATTTCCATTGCTGGGAAAATCATTTTGAACGTTTCTTTACATCCTTTCCTCTATGCTCCCTGTCATATAAAGGTAGAGGAATCACAGTAAATGCATTACTCAAAATGGATTATTTTCAAAAATAAGCACTGTTCAGATCTTTGCATTATTCTAGAAATGCTCTACATTCAATTAACACATTGCACCCTTCCTTTTAAGCACACATGCTTAGGGATTGCCTTATAGATGCTTAAGGATTACCTTATAGATGCAACTCTCCTATAACCAATTATTTAAACACGTTATTGAATCTGTTCCTTTGTACAAAATCCAAGAAATTCATTTCTAAACAGAGTACAAAAAAGTCTACATTTTATTTTACTAAACTGTTCTCTCTTTAAAGTACTATTAAACTTATTTTAATCAGTTTTTGTGGTATTATTTCACTTAATTCCATATGTGACAAAACAAAAAATAAACTTTGTGAACACCAAATGTTTGTGATAACAGTAAACACCAAAACTGAAAGCAAGCCACTTGCACTGGAAATTATAACTGCATGTACTTCCTACAAATACATGTTACATTATAGAATTGTCCCCAGGCAAAAATGCCTCAACCAAACGCACCACCATCAAGTGGATCCCGACTCATAGCGATCCTATGTGACAGAGGAAAAATGCTTCACGGAGTTTCTAAGGCTGTAAATCTTCACAAAGCATCTGCCTCACATTTCTTCCACAGAGTGACTGGTGGGTTTGAACCACCGACATTTGGGTTAGCAGACCAAACCTTAGCCTTAACCACTGCTCCATAGAAAACCAGAGCTCCACAGAAAATACCTACAAAGGTACAAAGACACTCCAATTGACACTTAATTTTAGTTTCTATAACTATGGAGGTAAAAGTAAAATATGGAGACCTGTGAATGAAGAGTAACAGAAAATCATTAAGACAAGACATTGGGTTAATGCTGCAAAAATAAAATGTGGAGATACCTAGAATGAGTTCTTTTGGTGAATTGGCATTTGGTATAACAGTTGTTCCGTTAAAAGCAAAAATTAGTAAAATGCAATCTGGGTCTGGTGTACTATACTGTGAACTCCCAGCCAGAGCATTCGTTTCACACATCTCTGCATCACTAGAAATCTAACAATGAGTAAATGAATGAACATATTAGGTTTATGTTTTACTCTAGAATAATGTCTCTTGAAGTCTTTTTGCTTCAGATACTTCTACAGGTCTTCTGAAATAAGTGGATACAGTTCATGTTCATTTTAGAACCTGAATCTGACCTGCTACTTTAGGAAGAAAAACAGTTGTGGAGATGTCTACCCAGCAGAGGAGGCCCAAAGGAATGTTAAAAGAAGTAAGTGACGTCTTATAAAATGTCCTACTAAACAGAATAGTTGTTTAGTAAGGCACTATTCATATGACATAAATGTAGTTGTACATAGACTGAGTAGAAGAAATATGAAAATTGGAAACCTGGGTCTGCAATGAATCAAAAGTCTTGGAGCATTTCCTCTGTAACCTGTATTCATATTTATGACTACTTTCATTTTCATTTTACTGCTTTAATCCTCAGATCTGATTGTTTCCCCTCAGAAGTTAGCAGGAAAAAAACTCCAGCTACCAACATACCTAACTGCAAGAATGCAAAAGTAATTGGAATGCTAAAATAATTTTTTAATGTAACACAACAGACAATGACACTTGACAGTGCTGAGTCACATGAAATTTTATGTTAAATATAGAGGCAAATTTAGAAATATCTATTTGTTTTTATACATTAGAGGATACTGAGACTTAGAGAAGGGACTAATTCAAGGTCATAAAACTTGTTAGTTGAAGAAATTTAATGCCCTGACTGCCAGCCAGGGTGAGGGGATTTCTACTGCATCACACTGACTTCTTCATATTCAAAATAATAAATTTATCAAAATAAATCATAAAAATGAATAATACAATATACAGTCTGTCTAGCCATCATTAACAGTGTCGTCCATCGCTGATATTAATATTACCATTCTTTATATTTGCAGGATTCTTTCAAATTAAAAAACAAAAACACCCCTGTTTATTTCTAATTGATCCTCAAAATGACTTTTTATGACAAGTAAGTTATTACTTGCCTTATTTCTAAATAAGGCAAAGAAACTGTGGCACAGATTTGTTGAGAAGCACATGTTATTTGCCACAAGTTGGTAAAAATCAATCAGCAATATGTTAAGAACCTAGGTCTCCAGGCATTCATCCCTCATTCCTTTAAAAAAAAAAATCCAACTTCCCTATTTCCAATTCACACCACTTAACCTCTTACAAGGAGCCCTAGTAGCACAATGGTTAAGCAGTAGGCTTCTAACTGAAGGGTTGGTGACTGGAACCCACTTAACCACTTATAGGATAAGATCTGGCAATCTTTTTCTGTAAAGATTACCCTAAGGGGCAGTTCCAATCTGTCACATGGGGTCGCTATGAGGCAGAATCTATGTTCCTGCACTAACAATAACACCTCTTGAAACTTCAAATACTTGAATATAATTTCTTATATATATTTAAATTCACTTTATTCTAAAAATGTAAATGATTAACCAATAGTTTTATTTTGTTTTGGTTTTGGTTGTCACATGGGGGTTAGTAACTTTCCAATAAGCAGGCTACAGAAATCAGAAACTTATTGAATACTGAATGATGCTTTCAGCAGTAACTGTTTAGGTCACAGATTACCTGCAAATAAAATTCCACCACAGCATAATTATTAATGGAAAGCTTAAAAGTATACTACCTAATACAAATACTGCATAAAACACCATAGATTAATATTTTCTCAGTCATCCTCTGAACAGAAAAACCTTAGGAATTTAGTTATCAAAGCTCACACTTTTATTAGAATTTCTAACTAGCATGCTACACCTGTTGCTTGTGCCTCTTAGAAAAAAATTATGGACTAGCTGGCAACATTTCTAATAGACTAATAAAAGTATTATTATCTTAAGAAAAACTAGTGAATCAAGATTCAAAAATTTTTCTACGTCAAGATTTCCTCAAATAGAGAAATACAATACATATCATAAGCTGTACTACTAAGGTAAGTGATAAGAAAGGTTTTATGTTGGAGAAATAATGCCATATATTACTAGCTTAAAAGCACAGAAAAATGTAGTCAACGTAAAGGGACTTAGTCTTTTTTTAGTATTAGTGGTAAGTTACTTTTGTAAATAAGTAGGGTTATTTCTCCGATAGCTCTTAAACATTTAAGATTTTGGGTGAAACATACTGTCACTTTCCATGAAACATTTTATATTTCTTCTAAAAATTATAAATTTAATACTACAATCATTTGAAAACTTATATTCATAGACACAAATTATGTTAAGTTAAAATGCTTTCTCAGCCAAGTAGAGGGTGCAAATCCACACCTATATATTTATACCTCTCAAATTTCCAATACCTCGAAGGAAAATTATAGTTTCTTCTTGTCATAAAGCAAGAATGGCTTCAGGACCATGGACAGAGAACTGTTCGCCAAGGGAGGGTGCAAAGTTAAAGGGTTTGTCTTCAATAAAGGCAGGGCAGGCACAATAATTATACCCTCTTACTACTCTAATTAGAAAACAACTAATTTATTAGAATGAAGGAAAATAAGGAGCTAGAGAGGGAAATTCATAAGTTACTAATACAGATTAGCTCTTATGATTGTGCAAGTTGTCATTTGTCTTTAAAAGAATAAGCTAACAATTAATTTTAGATAATAAAAAAATTGAAAACCACAAAAGGTGTTTAAAAAATAGCATATGCTAATTCTTAAATACACATACAGCACCTGCTATGCTGTGACCAAACCATCTGTTTACTGCCACAACATATTTTAGGGTCCTTTATTGACCATAAAAGATATATTCATTCCATACTTATTAACTAAACAGCTTCTGTTCTCTGGGGGCAGAGTGGGGAGGAAGGGCAGATCACCTCTTGGGATATTAAATGTATTGTTACAGAAACAATTACACAGCAGTCCCGGAGAAAAAGACCTCAAATGTCCGGAGAGTTTAGACAGACACCGGTTAACACCCATCCCTATCCACTTCCCAACACATCCGTGTTGTATTAATGGAAGACTTCCAGATTAGTGAAACACTGGAGGGCGTCTCTCCACGCCAACCTAGAGGGGAAAGGTTCCAAAAGGCCAAAAATCACAACCTGCAATCACTGTTCCAAGAATGCAACCCTTGACTATCCCACCAGAAACTCTACAATGCATCATTTTTATTCTGCCCATCACAAGGCGTATGAACGGAAGCGACATATTTGTACGGCCGGGCTGGCACATATGGGTTGCCACATATGTGCACGGGAAGCTGTACATATATGCCTGGACATAAGCATCATGCTGTGCGTGCCTGTGCAAGGAAGGCGACTCCGCAGCGGCCGGGGTAACTCTTCCCTTGGGCAGCCCCTGCGCCCTTGACATGACAGCTGCGATCTGTCTCCTCTCCTCTTCGCTCAGCTGGCTCAGATCCGCCTCCATGCCTGCCGGGATCACGGTGTGCAAGGGGCTCCCCGCCCCGCCAGCCCCTCCGCCGGCGGCCGCCGCCGCCGCCGCCGCCGCCAGCCCTTCCGGGAGCCCTTCCCCTTCCAAGCTCGCCTCGTTACCCATGGCTCAGGGTGGCTCGGGGCCGCCGTGCTCCCTCTCAGCCCAGCGTCCACGTCGGGAAGCCCACCGCCCGAGTTGCAACCGGCGCCTGGGTCCACCGCGGAGCGTGCAGGTGGCCGCGTCCCGGGGCTCGAGGCCGGGCACTGCCGCCCGGAGTGCCAGTGGACGTTAGTCCCCTTCGCAGGTGACGCCCGTGGCCGGTGCCTCCTCCATGTTGGACAGCTTGAGGCAACCTTTGCAGAAGACACCTCCCCGACGCCGCCTCAGCGCCCCGAGCTGGGGAGAAGCAGATCTGAGCGGTGCCAGCCGGGCGCCGTCGGCCCCTCCCACCGCGCCCCGCCTCCCCACCCGCGCCCTCGCACTGCGCATGCCCCTAGCAGAACAGGTGATGTTGGCGCTCCGCTCCCCGCCACTCTGCGTCGCTTTGTACCGGTCTTTACTTTCTGCACTGATTTAAAGGAACCCAGCTAGAGCACAGCTAAACACCAAGACACAACAGCTGGAGTTTCTTTCAGGCATATTTCAGGATACCTCAACCTGAAATTTAGCTGCCTAGATTCAAGGGGGATGGGCGAGGAGGGATAGGAGGAGGAGTCTCTCCTTTCAGCTTTGACTCATGGGATTTGTAGTTTCGATTTAAAAGAGCGCTTTAAAAAAAAAATTCCTTGGATAGGATTCGTGTGACTGGAGATTAACAAAGAGAACTCTGATACTTTTGAGACAAATTTCTCAAAAGGAGCTGAAGAATGGCCATTTTCATGTATACTTTCCCAGAATAGTTTAAATGATGCACCATCTGGAAATAGATAAGGTTTTTGAATGATTTTAACATGTGTTTCTCCATGAAACAACTACGCTAAAGTAAATGATTGTGGGGAATAGTGGATCCGGGGTAGTGTGGGAAGATCCAAAGTGTAAAATATTAACGTGTTAGAGTAGTGTGAAACTTGGAAAACATTGAATTCGATCTTTTTTAAAAAATTACTATTTTGTAAAAATTGGTATAGAAGATCCCAAAAAGGTAAATTAACTAATGTAGATCACACAACTAGTTGGCAGCAAATACGTAACTAGTGACCACTGACTCACCCACCCACCCATTCATCTACCCACTCACCCCCACACACACTCATACTCTCTTTTCTTACTACTACATTTCTTAAGAGGGATATGTTTTAGTTCAACATAGGCTTTCTGGCCCCAATTTTGCTACCTCTCTTCCTCACAAATGGACTTAATATCCAAAATGTGGAGCTTAAAAAAAAAAGAAATATATAAATCAAATGGAAATGATTAAATTGCTCAGAGAACACATTCCAAATTTTAGCAGTAGTTAATCATAATAGTTTGATAGTATGCATTTTACTTGTATCAAAACTGTAAAGTGCCACAATTATAACAATTTGCGACTACATGTATTGCTTTTAAACATGGTTAGCTCTCAGATGAGTTCATATTACTAGTTAAGTCCAACAAAGCCTTTGCATAAACTTGAATCTCTCATAAGATACTGAAATGTGACTTCCAAAGTTAACAATGCATACAGTCATCCACTGAATAATAATAATAATAAAAGAATATTCCCATTTGACCCAGACAAATCAAGCTGAGGCAATCTACATTCTGATGGTCACAGTTAGAGGCACATAGAACATCGTCATACCCCCAAATACAATATGGAGTGAGTTTGCTTCAAAGTAAGGTAACATAATAAAGTACACAATCCTGGATCATGTTGCCCCCTCTGACAAAACTAGTAATTGCTCCATGGTGCAGGCTGGCCTGGGAATCTGTAACACTCTCAAATGGAGGTGAAGTACAGGGAGAAAATTTACATTCTGGCTATTTTCTGATAATATACCCAAGCTTTGCAAAAATAAAATATATTTGATACAATCATATCTACCCACAGTCACAGTCATGTATTTGATAACTCACCCGAAACACAAATTTCAAAATTTTTAGAAAAATGAATACCTTTTCAAACAAAACCAAACCCACTGTCCTCGAGTTGATTCTGACTCTAAACTGCAGGCTTAATAAGACTGAGCTGAAAAAATGTATTGTTTAATCACACATTCTCTCCCACTGTAGACAGAAAGGAGTGTGAGATGTGTAGAGAGATAAGAACTCATAGTATCCAAAATAATGTTGGTAGGCTAAACAAAAAGTAATAAGTTGGGAATATTATAGCTCATTTTGCAAATATTAACATTCACTTTCTTCTTTCCTCCTCTGCCCCAGGAGCAAATATCACAAGAAACAGGAAAATGGGACATGTACTGGAAATAATAAATGGACTGTGAGAGCAGAAGATGTTATGGTGACACTTTGGAGACATTTTGAATGTTGACTTTTTAAAATAATTTTGCTTTGGAAAGCCTTTAACTGGGAGTTTTGAATGGTTTCTTTTATTCATTCCTTCCATTTGGCTATAAGGTTGCTTGTTCTTGGGAGGTGCTCCTGATCTAAAGAAACACTATGTCAGAGTTCTGGGAAGACCTGAAAGATGATTGCTTAGAATTTTATCTACATCCAAGGGAAAAAGAGAAAAGTGAACTATTTACTGCGGTAAATGAGAAATTAATAATTCATAACAGAGTTAATTTTTAAAATAATGATTGCTCTATTTAAAGGGCATTCCTTATAAGTAAATTTATAGAACTCCAGGGATAGAAGGATAAGGAATCGAACATTTTAAATTACTTTATGGCACTTCTCCTTGCTTATGTTTGTTTGCTTCTTCTTTTTTGTTTTTTTAACAAAAAAGTAAAATCTGGATTAGGTTCCGGTAAGATGGCGGACTAGGCAGAAAGACAGCACAGACACTCTTCAAAAAAGAAAAGGGAAACCAATTAACACAGACACAGAAGATAATCCTGGACCCTTGAGCCTTGAAGGGGAGGATATAGAAGTGGACTAAACCGCAACTGGCAGAAAAATTTGCAAGAAAATACCAAAAAAGGAGACAGAGCTGAGGTCTGGCAGCGATCTTGAGCAATTCTGATGGCATGGCACAAACAACTTTGAGAGTGCCGAGTGGCGGTAGGACCTAAGAATTAACCTAAAAATCAGCATGCTAGCTAGGGACTGCATGGAGGACTGCTCTGGTGGCTGGGGAATAAATGGAGAAGGTGAAGAGAAAGGCGGGCTGATCTGTGGACTTTTGCCGGTCCAGAGGACACTGCCATTTTGAATGTTTAAAAATGGCTTGACTATTTTGGATATTTAAAGAGACAGCACTCTGGCAGATTCCTGGGTCTTCAGAACACGTTCTGCTTGCCAGCAACCCCAAGGACACTCTGGACCTACAAGACTCAAAAGATGCGACATTCCTCTTGTTACTCTTATAACCCACACCTGCTTGGTGAACAGAGGTGCGGCCATCCTCCACTCCCACCTGCCTTCTGGGCCCACAGAAACTCCATCACAGTCTGTGTGCTCAGACGGAGCCTGGGTGTCCTGCCTTATCCTTCACCAATTTTTTTTCTCTTTTTTTATTTTTATTTTTTTATTTTTCACTTTCTTTTTTTCTGGTGATTAGTTTGCTTGTATGTGCCTGTTTTAAAATAACTATTATTATTAATATTATTGTCCTTTTTACTATTATTCTTATTCTTCCCCTCTCAGGTCCTAGTTTTCAGCATCTTTTTTTCCCTGTTCCTGGTTAAATTTTTTTTTTT